GAGTTTTACTCCATGGCTTGGAGGACAGCCACACATGCTAGGGGAAAAGGGAGCTCAGATAGAGAAGGGAGCACCAATAAAGTGTGACCATGTTTGAGTTAGTTGGCATTGGTTGATTTCTACATTGGTTGGCTTCTGCATTGGTTGGAAGACTGGTGTTGGTTGGCTTCTGTGTTGCTCAGCTTGTGTTGGTTGGCATCTGCGTTGGTTGGTTGGTTGGTTTTGGCAGACAGGTGTTGGTTGGCTTCTGCCTTACAGCCATGCAATCCGCTATGCTCCTGCTGGAATGTCACTGTTAGAGATTTTGTGATGTTGCCGCCCTGAAAATCCTAAATATTTCACTGGGAAGTTCCTTATTCCACTGGGCAAGGCTGCCAGCTGTTCTGAAAGTATGGGAGAAGGTGGGGCTATGGAGGGCTGTCACGCTGACTCTGATAAGAGGTGGACTTTTTCTAACATCTCTGTTTCTGCGCCACTGTTTCCCAGACAACTGAGGTGCCTGGGAAAATGGGGGACAGGAAGCATTCTCCCAGGTACCTGGGTAACTCTCTGGAGGGCCCCCATTCGGACAGCAGGTAGCATCATACAGTGACCCATGCAGTCAGACAGACTAGTCACCCCTCAGGGCTCCATGGGGCAAACAGCACACACATGATTTGTCCCCATCTACATGCAATCTTTCCACACACATCTCGTCCCATTGCCGGCTTCTCCCCACTAGTGTTCCCCATCTGCTCCTCTGATGCGACTTCTGGCTGGACCCTCTGGCTGCATCTCCCTCCCCCACCTCCGTGTTGGAACTGACCCCAGTTGTGTCCCTCCTCTTCCTCCTGAAGTTCAGCTCTCCTGCTCTCCCTGTCCCTTACCCTGGGCATGTGTCTCCCTCCCCTGCTTCCAGATACCAACTCTCAGAACTCACCCCATGCCTGCCCCTCTCCCCTACATCTACTGTGAGGCTCCAGGACACGCAGGCAGCAACCAAGGCCAGCACAATGGCAGGCTCAACTTCCATTGACCTGGATTTGGTTTGGGTGCCACACCCAAGGATCACTCAGGGAGCCCTGAGTGGTACTTGAGATTTAACCCACATTCAGGCCTTGCCAGGAATAAGCCCTGAACATAGCCGGGTGTAGCCCCCCAAAAAAGAGCCATGGGGATATTACAATGGATTTGGTGCATACTTGGCACACAGTAAACACAGGTTTGATCCATGGCACCCCAAATGGCCCCCACAAGCCTGCATGAGTAAAGCTTGAACACAGAGATAGGAGTCAGTCCTGAGCATTGCCCCAAGCACCCCCTCTCCCCAAAATACAAAATACAATATAAAATAGTAGTAGAGCATTTGACTACAAACAAGTACATAATGATACTTATTTAATTATATAATGATATTTATTTAATAGAAAGAGGTGATCTCTGTAGTGAGATAGGGAACATTTGTTGTTAAAGGGGGTGTCACTGTGCATGCTGTCTCAGGATCTCACCCACACAGGCCTTGTCTTTCTCTTTTCTCTCTCTCTCTCTCTCTCTCTCTCTCTCTCTCTGTCTGTCTGTCTCTGCCCGCTACCGCCTGTTTTGGGCATTGTGGTTTGCAATACAGATACTGAAAGGTTATCAAGAATATTCCTTTAACTACTTTTAATACTCAGTTCTTGTCCAACATGATCATTTCCAACTATTATTGTCGTACTGTTCCCTTTTCTATCTTACCTACCCTCAGCCCCAAACATACTTGTGTTGATTCCATCCATTGACCAGTCCTCCCAGCCCCTGTTCTCCCTGGCCGTGGATATTAGTCTTCTAATATATATATATATATATATATATATATATATATATATATATCACAAACGAATGTAGTTATTTTATATCTGTCCCCTTCCTTCTAACTCATTTCACTCAGCATGATACTCTCCATGTCCATCCATTTATAAGCAAATTTCATGACTTCATTTTTCCTAACAGCTGCATAGTATTCCATTATGTAGATGTGCCATAGTTTCTTTATCCATTTGTCTGTTCTTGGGCACTCAGGTGTTTCCAGATTCTGGCTATTGTGAATAGTGCTACAGTGAACATAGAAGTGCAGATAGTGTTTCTGAAGTGTGATTTTGGGCACCCAGGGTATATTCCCAGAAGTGGTATTACTGGGTCAAATAGAAGATCGATTTCTATTTTTTTGAGTAATGTCCATATTGTTTTCCAAAAAGGCTGGAGCAGTCGGCATTCCCACCAACAATGAAGGAGGATCCCTTTCTCCCCATATCCACACCAGCACTGGTTGCTCTTGTTCTTTTGGTTGTGTGCCAATCTCTGGTGTGAGATGATATCTCATTCCCATTTGGATCTGCATCTCCCTGATGCAGTGATGAAGAGCATTTTTTTCATGTGCCTTTTGACCATTCAAATCTCTTCTTCAAGCAAGTTTCTGTTCATTTCGTCGTATCATTTTCTAATGTGGTTGAATTTTTTTTTGTAGAGTTCGACCAGTGCCTTGTATATCTGATTTCTTTTTATTGTTGCTTTGTTTTCTCTTGGATCATGTTCTGTAGTATTCAAGTTCTTGTTTTGGGGTTCACTGCTCTGCTAGTTCACTGCAGCCCTTGGTACTTTCTGGCCTGGGGGTAGCCTTTCCTCTGGTGTCAGAAAAAGAAACACACAAAGCAGGTGGAAGTGAGGCCCCAGGGCCATTCCTTGGGCACTGAGGAAAAGCATATTAATCAAATGTGGACGCAGAAGAGCAAGATCCTCTCCTTCCGACTCTGCTCCTTGTGGAAGCTGGCAACCAAGAAAACCATGGAAAAACCAGAACCCCACCAGGAGTCAGCTGACCTATAGAACCAGACCCAGGTTAGGTAAAGGGGTGTGTTCTATACCAACTAAGAACCTGCTTCCCCTTAGCTGCAGGAAAGTGGTCAAATCTGCTAAAACAGACTGTGTGTCTGCTTTGGAGTTGCTCCTGTTTTTCTCTTACTGATGGCACTTTCCAAAGGTAGAAGCAGAAATGATTGATCTCTGCATGTTGTGTTCACGATTGCTCAAGTGATTCATTATGTCTTGTTTTATTATCTGTATTGTTTGTTCTTCTGCTTGGTTCTGATTGAATTTTATGTAAAAAATGAATAGCCACTCACATATCACATAATTCAATATTTCCCCAGAAAGCGTACAACACAGTGTTCACAGAAATTACTGAGAAAAATATTTTTGTGTTTCTTGATTGCTTTGGGTTAATCATTCTGATTCCTTTGTACTGAAAATGCTAATTTGATTAACATTGCAAATGCTTCTTGAGAAGCTATCTAAAAAATTGACATTTCTATCAGCCATTCCAAATGTGGCTACAAGAGAATACTAGCAAAATAATGCAGCAGAAGTAATTCTAATTTATTGAAACATAGCTTTCACAGGAGTTCAGTATAATCTGTCAATAATATTAAATAGAAGCAGAATGTTCATAAGGATCTTTTCATACCATAAGTGATTAGGAATCATTGGTAAATGAAAGATAAGTATTAGAAAACTCCATAAATGGATTAGGTTTTACTGGGAGTTAAAGAAATGAGTGCAGCACAGCCATGCAGAGGGGAAGAAGGAAGAATTTCCTAATATTCTCAGTTAGCTCAAAGTGGAGAGCTCAAAGGTGTGTGGAAACTGGATTCAGGAAGAACAGGTATAGCTCAGTAGAAAGGAAAGGGTTCTGGGAGGGGGTGTTGGCATGTCTGAGCACCCTCCCACCCCACTGCCAGTGCTGATACCAGGAGGACAGATATCAGGAAGTGCTCACTAAGTGGTAGTCTGCCAGAAATATGCCTGCATCTATTTTACCATTATATTTTGCTTCCATGTTTTTTACAGTAATCAATAAAATTCCTTGCACATCCATGGATACTATAAAAATCAAGGTTGAGCATATTTAAGTAGGGTCTGAGTAATGGAACAGAGTGTAGGCTGTTTGCCCTTCATGTTGTCTGATCCAGATTCAAGCCTAGGCACCCCAGTACTTCAGGGTATGGCACAAATGTGCACCCACCACCCAAACATGTTAACATCCTGTTAGGTAGACTCTATTATTACCTTTGGGGGGGTGGGTGATGGAGAAGAATCCATTCAAATGTTTGATTAGCAACTCTCCTAAGCTTAAAGTAGTACAGCACACACAAAAAAGGGGTTCAGGCTTCTGGTAGCATCTAGCAGAAGAGAACTCACCAGATCATGATGCTAGACATGAGGTGAGTGTTTCAGAACTTCCCTGGGATCCACAAGAGATAACTCTGTGGGCAGGTCATTTCATCCCCTAGCTTAGCATCCTCACCTGTGACACAGAAGTTACAGTTCTACTGTTATAATCAAAGTTCCCTTAACCAGACACACCAAGACAGAGATTTGGCAGGAAAACCAAACAAGTATTTCTTCATTTACACCAGCTGGCCAGGCCAGGGACCAGAACTAGGCAATCTCCTGAAGCTATTGACCTCGCAGTGGAGGGTACAAGAGCAATTTTAGAGAGCGTCTGCAGGGCATGAGCCTACTTAACCAGACTGAGACTGGCAGCACAGACGTCAGAGTTACAATATGGTATCAAATCCAACAGTGGTGTTGGGGTTCAAGTACAATGATATCAGGAATGACAAACATGGCTAGATCAAGGAAAGTTGGGCAAGGCCATTTACAGCAAGAAGGGCATTCTCTACAGCTGGGGGGGGCGGGGTCAGGGGACAGATTGGTGTCTGGTTTTGCAGTTAACAGCATGTACAAAGAAGTTATGAGTCACACACTACAAAACCCCACAGCTAATGACAGGACAAGGCCCCTTTGCAGACTGTGTGAAAATAGAGGAGATGATCTCACATTGCAAAGTTGAAAAAGAGAGAAAATTACTAGTGTTCCTGTTCTGTCTCCAGCTCGTGCTGTGTTGCCATCCAGAGCTTTCACTTAGCTCACTGTTTTTTAATTCCTAGAAAAGCCATCTTAATTCTGACAATATTTCATCACAGGTGACTATGTCGTCATGACTGTCTACTTTGAACTGAGCAGAAGAATGGGGTACTTCACCATCCAGACATACATCCCCTGTGTACTGACTGTGGTGTTATCGTGGGTTTCGTTTTGGATCAAAAAAGATGCTACACCAGCAAGAACAGCACTAGGTGAGTGTACAAAAGAGACTCCCAAGACTTTGTGTCATTTTAATACAGAAGAATTCACAAAACTACTTCCAGTCCAGGAGGCCTAGTTCCAGTGACTTAATGAAGTCAATAAAAATTATTCTTTACAGCATTGAATTCCACATGTCTGAGTTACATGAAGCAGTGGGTAGGGACTCAGTATAAATCAAGTTGCCTTAACTGTGCTCTATGGATGATGTAGTCATAAAAATGCCCGCATATCTCAGAACCTGCCACAATCAAAAGTTTCATTATGTCAAAAACAGAACTTGTCACCCAGCTTGGAGAGCTAAAGAAAAATATTGGCAACAGAGTCTCAATAAAAGAAGTTCTGTTTGTCAGTAATAGTTTTGACCAGAAAAGAGTCCTGGTTTTCGGCTAGAATCTCTCCACTAAATCTCCATCCTTCATTGAACTTACCTCTGGCCCCACCTCAACATCAGCGCTTCTCAACCAGGAGCCTTAGGGTCACTTTGGGGACCCCAGGCTGCTCCAAGGGAGCACGGGTAAAATACATCAATGGGGACCCTCATGGGGATCCCACAAGGGGAGCCTACTAGAGCACAAGCCAGCCAAAAGGATGTGGGACCACTGGAAGGAAGCAAGGGGAGAGAGGAACAAAGTTTGGGAAAGTTGGAGAAGCACTGCTTTATATGAAACACTGAATTTCAGAGGGTTTACAGTTGAAAAACACATTTGAGAACAATCTTCCTTTAAGAGTTCCACCTAACTTTCAATATCAGTGATTTGTAGAAAATAAGAAATATGATTGCTGAATATAAATGATTACTTTGCTAAAAAAAATTGAGAACATAAGACTCTGCCTCAACTTAAAATCCTGCAAAGTCTCTTTGTGTTTCTTAGTAATTTTATTTTTAACAACAAAGTACAATTCCAGCAAAATAAGTTAACCTAAAAATACTACCAATGGCCCCTGATTATGCCTTTAAAAATCAACCCAAAAGAGTAGAGAAATGGCAAAACCAGTTTGTTTAACTGAGTCACCAATCAGACCATTCCTAGAAAGAATAAGTACCCTGACAGCTTTTCCTTTTTTTTTTTCTTTTTGGGTCACATGGGCGAAACTCTGGGGCTACTCCTGGCTCTGCATAGTAATCAAGCCCAGGTTAGCCACATGCAAGGCAAACACCCTACCTGCTGTACTGTCGCTCAGCCCCCCTACTCCTGAGGCTTATAAATGAAGCCCTGGGGCCAGAGTGAAAGTCCAGTGGGCAGAGTGCTTGCATGCTACAGAGCCAAGACTAACCAGGTAAATAGCCGCGTGTAGTTCAAAAATCAAAACCATAAATAAAGCCCAATTCAACTTATGTCAAGAACCTGACATCCGTCTTTTTTTAAATTTCATTTGTATAAAATTGTTCACAGTGTTATTACTTTCAATATTCCAACACCAACCCTACCACCATTATACCTTCCCACCACCATTATTTCCTATTTTCCCAGCCACCACCCAAGCCTGCTCCAATAGCAAGCCCTAAATGACTTATTTTGTATTGCGTGTTATGGTTAAGTAACTAAAAATGATCAAAAAATATTTCCTTTAAAAAAAAAGGTAGGGCTGGATAGCACAGCAGGTAGGGCATTTGCCTTGCATGCGGCCAACCCGGGTTTGACTCCCAGCATCCCATATGGTCCCCCAAGCACCACCAGGAGTAATTCCAGGCGTAACCCCTGTGCATCGCCAGGTGTGACCCAAAAAGCAAAAAAAAAGTGTGTAAAGATTGTATCTCATCCTAGAGTCATTAAGCTCTTGTATAAGCGATTACTAACATATTGTTACAGGTTAAGCCTTGTGTGTTAATATTTTCTTAATCGAGATTGGTTGACTTCTACTTTACATCCTATCCAATGTGGTATGCTACACATCAGTGGTAAAGAGTATGAGATGTCGTTCCAAGAATTCTAAGGTATTAAATATGATGAAACAGCTGGGGTTAGATTTTTAACTAGATGGTGATAAGTCAGTCTTTTATAACCAAAAGCCTGCAAAAGTTCCCCACCTCTCCTAAGAAAGCATTCGATATTTAAGTCAGAAAACATAGCACAGTCTCCTAATCCAGAAATAAATAATGGTTTGATATCTATAAAGGACTGCTCGGATGTCAAATTGGCTGATAGTCTTTAGCCCTGCTCTTGTAAATGTCTGAAGACTCAAAGGAAAAGGTGGTCTTAAAGAATAATCTCAGCAGATAAAGTACATTTTAAAAAGGAAGTTCTACAATGAAAACGCATAGTGGCTGGGTTGGAAATAAATTGGTTTAAGAGCCAATTGAAGACAGTGGGAAGGAATTTGTGTAATGAACAGAGGTCCAGACAGAAATATTTAAAGCAAGGAACAAAGTGCCTGTGACGATGCCATGACACCCACTGAAGCTGAAGTCAGTGGAGGAGAGAATGCATTCGTTCTTTCTGGATCAGTATTATAGTTTGGGTGACATCATGGCGACATTAGTGTTAACCTTCATGGTTCTGATGCACAGTTGCTGCATCATCTCCACTGCTGTCCTTGTGTCACTTCTCATCCACATCTCCCTTCTCCTGCCACTGCTTGGTTATCTGTCTTATTATCTGAGATCAAGGGTCAATGACCTGCTTATCAGATACTCTCTATTTTCTTGTTTGGTCCTATATAGGGTGAGCGGTCACCCAGTATTTCTTCTTCTCCCTCAAACTATGTTGTTTATGAAACTGATAAGCGTTTTACTGAAAGTTTTGGGTCTTTCGACTCATTTCCTGGGAAAAAAATTCCTAACGTTTAGGAAAAACTACAGATTTTGTAGCCAACATAGATCTTCTATTTGTTTGTGTGGGGCCAACCATCTGTGCTAAGGGTACTCTATGGGGTCCTGGGGATTGGCCACATGCAAGTCACACTGAGCCAGATTATTTTTCAAATTAAATTGGGGGGGTTGGAGAGTTTGCTCAATTGGAGAACATTCATCTAGCATATTTAAGGCCTTGAGGTTCATACCTAGCCTGCAGGACACCGCACTTGTGATTCCTATAAAAATAAAATCATTTTTCAACTTAGAAACTTTAAGTTTGAACTGTATACTTGTAATAAATACATCGTTTATAAAAATACGACCAGTGCTACAGCTCAGCAGTGGTGCATCTGCCATTTGTGTGGGAGGCCCTGAGTTCCTCCCCCACACACACATTTTCAAGTCCTACAACTCCCCCACCCAATAGCAAGAAAAATGGCATTCTATTTCCACTGCACTTATTAAAGAAAAAACACTTTTTTAAAGAAGTGACTTCCTGTGACTTGAATGCTGATCATTGTCAGGCTGGAGCCTCAGGTATTGATCAGCATCTTTCACAGCGCTGTCCACTCTATGACCTGAGACGCCTCCTCCTGGGAGTCCCGGCTGTTCACAGACCAGGTTGGAACACAAGGGCACTTGGTACAAATGCTGTTTCTAGAACGTTGTATAATGTACACTATACATTCACTTTCTAAAAATGTCTGCTCAAAGGGAAGGCTGTTGCCTCTCTCTTATCTCATGATCCGTGGTCCGCAGTGGAGCCTACTGACTGCTGTTTTACTGGATTCTCCAATGGACAGTGAAAGATGGGAAAATCCACTTCCTCTAAGCCCAGGGTCATGTCCCCAGCCAGCTAGTCTGTGAAAGAGCAGGTGTTGATTTCCTTCCTGGAGGCATGTCCTCCCTGGGGCAGTCTGTCCCTTCACTCCAGTCCTTCAGTTGAATGGCCTCCCTCCCTTTGATCTTGGGTGATTTTCTATCCCAAGTCCATTCACCTTCTAAATGTCTTCCAGAGACCTTGGTTAAATCTTTCATAGCAACCCACCTGTGTGAAGTGGGTCACATTCAAAACAGTACTGATCTTACCCATTTCCTCATTAATCCATGAACAAATGTGAAGACTCCAGCAAAGGTATCAGCTGAAATGCCTAAAATGTACTAGGTATGATGTGGGGTATGTGATCTTATCACACACCTTTTCAGGGAGACAGACAAGTAAGGAGTGATAAGACAGTGATGTAGTCACAATAAAAAAGAAAAAAAACACGAGGCAAGGCCAGTGCAGATGACTCTGTTACCAGGCATCTCCCAGTGGGGCTTCTGCTGGGTCTAGAACAAAGTGGGTAGCCCACAGATAGCACAGGTAAGGACAAGAAAGGCATAGTTAAAGAAACTATGGTACATCTACATAATGGAAAACTATGCAGCTGTTAGGAAAGATGAAGTCATGAAATTCACTTATAAGTGGGTGGACATAGAGAGTATCATGCTAAGTGAAATGAGTCAGAAAGAGAGGGACAAACATAGAATGAGTGCACTCATTTGTGGAGTATAAAATAACATGATACAAGACTAACACCCAAGGACAGTTAGAGACAAGGACTAGGAGGCTTGTTCCATGGTTGGAAGCCTGCCACATGAGCTGGCGGAGAAGGCAGATGGGATAGAGAAGGGATCACTAAGTCAATGATGGTTGGAGGGATCACTCAGGATGAAAGATGTATGCTGAAAATAGGTAAAGGATCAAACACGATGGCCTCTCAGTATCTGTATTGCAAACCATAATGCCCAAAAATAGAGAGAAAGTAAGTGGTAAATTGTCTGCCATAGAGGCAGGGGGAGGACTGGGATGGGGAGGTGGGAGATACTGGGGACACTGGTGGTAGAAAATGTACACTGGTGGAGAGATAGGTGTTTGATCATTGTATGACTGAAACTCAAACATGAAAGCTTTGTAACTGTATCTCATGCTGAACCAATAAAAAAAAGGATCAAATATAGTATTGCATTTCTTTCGTGTCAAGAGGCCATGTGAAGTTTAGCCAGTCTCTCTGTCCGGTAGTGGGTTTCCCAGAAGTTCCTTTAACAGTAACTCCCTGTTGCCCCAGGCATCACCACAGTACTGACCATGACCACCCTCAGCACCATCGCCAGGAAGTCTCTGCCCCGTGTGTCCTATGTGACAGCCATGGACCTCTTTGTGACCGTGTGCTTCTTATTTGTCTTCGCTGCCCTGATGGAGTATGCTACCCTTAACTATTACTCAAGCTGTAGAAAACCAACCACCACTAAAAAGAAAACATCGGTAAGTAGCGATGGCCAGGTCCTCCTGGGAAGTAAGTGCCAGGTTTGTCTGGGACAACACAGAATGCTCTAAGTAACTACGGGACAAGATACTGAAAACAGAGTCATTTGAATAGAACTGACTACAGCACCTTCAGCCTCTGCTAAAATGGCTTCTTGTGCCATAGAGTTTGCTTCTAACAGAGATGTCTTGTGGTGCCAATTTCCATGGCACTCTTCTTATTTTTCCCTGCTTTTTCTTGCAGTTATTGCACCCAGATTCCTCGAGGTGGATCCCTGAGCGTATAAGCCTCCAAGCCCCTTCCGTATGTATAGGGTTGCAGGTGAAACTATTTCTAAGCCTGGGTTTGAAAGATATGATATTACATGGAGTAATGCAAGTAGTAATGCACATACGTTCTTCAAAATAATTTTTCACTGTTTTTAAAAATATAACCTAGAAAATTTCAACGAACAGGGAAAGTTTCATCCTGATTCTTCTGCACATGTATTTCTGAATTTCCGGGCCATTTATATAATATATAGACATACTTTGGGGGAAGTGGGCAGGAGTTAATTATGATCTATAAATTATTTTAGAATCAGTTTCATAAGTCCAAGTTTCTAAGTCATCAATCCTATCTCACAGAGTCATATTTATGATTGCTTCATATCTCCTAATTGATGCTCAGGCCATTTTGATTGGCCACTGGACATCCCCCCTTAAGACTCCTGAGACTTAATACAAACCTCTGGCAGTACAATGCCAGGCCAACCATTTACTTGGCCTTTGCAAATGGTATTCCCACCCTCTCCAGATCTCCCCACAGTCAGGTCTCAGGACCAAACAGTAAAAGAGCTTCTGCCCCCACCCTCCCGGCAGTCCTCTGATTCTCAATGAGGCTTGCTGCATTCCACTTATTGTTGATATTTATTTCATGTTTGTGCATTGCTCATTGTCCTTTGACTTTAATTGGAGATTATTTTAAATACTATTCTATAGCTTTTTATGTCTTTGAACTTTTTAAAGTAGCAACGGTATGATTTCATTCATATAAAATGATGTTTACAGAGCTACAAATACAAGGTGCTGGGGACATGAGCCAGGTTTTGTGCAGCTTTTCACCTTTCTAGTTGTCAGTCAATATTTCACTGCCACTTCTCGTGTCTATTTTGACATGCACATTTTTGTTGTCTCAGGCTGTCAACTTTACCGTTGTGTCCAGCATGGAGACACTCTCCCCGCACCCTCAGATTTGCCTTTCTTTCAGGGAGGTATTCTGTTCAACACTCTGCTCTGATTATCAACTCATTTCATCCTCCCAGCAGCCCACTGTGCTTTGAGGAAATGGAGGTGTCCTACAACTATCCACCAAGTTTGATCATTTTTAAACACATCTCATTGAGGCACCTGGATTTTTTTAACTTTTCCCTCTCTCCTCTCTCCCTCCCTCCCTCCCTCTCTTCTCTCTCTCTCTCTCTCTCTCTCTCTCTCTCTCTCTCTCCCCCTTCCTCCCTCCCCCCTTTGCGCATTATGGTTTGCAATGTTGATACTGAGAGGTTATCCACAAAATCCCTTTACCTACTTTTAATACTCAGTTCTTGCCCAGAATGACCATTTCCAGCTATTATTTTCATACTGGTCTCTTCTCTATCTTACCTATCCTTAGCCCCCCACACACTTGTGGTTAGAGCCAACCATTGACCAGTCCTAACCCCTGTTTTCCCTGACCATGGGTATTAGTCTTCTACTAATTTTTTACATCCCACAAATGAATGCAGTTATTCTATATCTGTCCCTCTCCTTCTGACTCATTTCACTCAGCATGATACTCTCCATATCCATCCATTTATAGGCAAATTTCATGACTTCATTTTTTTTCTTAAGAGCTACATAGTATTCCATTGTGTAGATGAGGCACCTGGATTTTTAATATCTGGCTTGGGTAGACGCTAACTTTAATGAAACAAAATTTTTTAATGTGGGGCCAGAGAGATAGTATAGAAGGTGCTCACCTCATATGTGCTGGGCTCTGATGGAATTCCAGGTATTATACGTGAGCTCCTGAATAAAAAGCAAGGAATATCCCCTGATAACTGTAAGCTATAAGCAGTCTTCACATTCAAAAAAAAAAAAAAAACAGAAACAGGGAGGTTGGGGAGTGAGGGGTGTAGGCAGAGGGAGATATCTTTAAAATGCTGATGCAAGCACTTTGACCATGTAGCAATTTTCAGACATAATCATTACATGTGCCCATGTACCGATCAGTGGATTTCAGTTCTTGTATCATAAGTGGCTTTTTAAGTGCGAATCAATCAGTAATTGTGTATCGTGCCCATGTCAGCCATAAAGCTATTCATGGCAGCTTTGTTGAAGATGAGTAGTTAAATCATTTAACAGCTGTGGGAAGCCACAATGGAGAGACAGTTTTTGCCAGCAAATGCTTCTAAATAGCAGCAAAGATGTCATGGGAAAGTGAGGGTCAAGGGGGCCTGGGTGACAGAGAGGAACTGACAGAATAGCCAGAGGCCTGGAGAGTGCCTTATCACACACAGCCAGGGGCCGGGATGGAGGAAGAAATGTGGGCACCCTTGATGCCAGTGGCAGAAATGATATCGCCACCAAAAGGAAGACTCAGGACCAGACAGGTGTTGGAACATCATACGACTGAAACTCGATCATGAACAATTTTGTAACTGTATATCTCACAGTGACTCAATTAAAAAAAAAAAAGAGGAAGAGTCCCCGAATATAAGGAAATTTCCACCAAACTACCAGAAAAAAATAAATTCGTTTTAAAGAGGAAGAGCTAAATCAAAATCTTAAACATTAGCATTAGCAGAGCCATGTAACCTTAAACTACAATTTAAAAAATTAAAGATACATAAAAGATAAGAGGGAAGGAGTCTCGGCCTTGACAAAAATTCACAGAAAAACAATTCACAACCAAAAAGGCCCCAGGCCCAGTGAGCAAAACCAGTGAGAATATCCTCAAGAGCAAAAGCAATGAGAATATGTCCTCAAGAGCAAAAGCCATGAGAATATCGTCATTGAAAATATCCAATAGTAGGATAGTTACCAAGTAGCCATTTTATTTGATCCAGTTGATCCACTTGAAACTTGATTTATTCCCACTCTGAAGAAACAAAGGACTCTTCCATCACAGGAGGAGGCAGACAGGATGGGAAGCTGTGGGTGACAGCCCCGCCCAGAGTCTTTTGGCCTCTCCCCCCAGGCAATGCTAGTAGATGGATGCCCTTTGGGCATATGCATGTGTCTGGAAACACACCAGAGTCCAAAAGGGACACGTGAGGCCTACACAGGTCACAATCTAGCTGGGAGGAAGATGACTTCAGAGACTCATTAGTTACAATGATAATTTTGGTCACAGTTTGAAACTGTCTGTGACAAGAGAGAGGAACACTCTAAAAGCACGCTTAGGCAGCCAACAAACATATGGCTGTTTAGGGCTTCTACTATTCGGGATTTTATTTCAATATTGTTAAATGGAACTAGCTGTGTTCCCAAACCATAAGGCATAAGGAAAGCTCTCTGAATTATAAGGGGATGGGTTTCAATGATTAGGGGAAGGGTTGAGGGGAATTGGAGACCACACCTGGCAGTGCTAGGGGGTTATTTCTGGTTCTGCTCTCAGGAATTATTCCTGATGGTACTCATGGAACCATAACGGATGCTGGGCATCAATCCCAGTTTGGCTGAGTGCAAGGCAAATACCCTCCCCACTGTCCTATCACCCCAGTGTCTGCTCAGATTTTTTTTTGTTTCTAAAAGAAGATATGAAATATACTCAGAAAACTTGGTGCTTCTTTGCCGGTGGCCTTAAGTCACCCACCCCTAGTTTCTTCATGAGCTGTCCTCACCCTGTCAAGCCCTCTGGGAGTCATCTTCCTTCGTCATGACTGGACCCTAGACAGTACACTGATTGGAAGATGTGAATGAATGAGCATCTGGTTAAACATGATCAACACACATGCAGTCCTTAGCTGAAAACAAGGCAGGATGTTTCCCACCAGGGCTGGGTGAAAAGAGGCAGGTTCCCCAAATGCACTGGCATGAAATAGCGACCCTTCCCTGTGACGTTTGCACCCAGTAGGTTTAAGAACCCTGAGCTGGTCAGAGCGCACCAGCATGGATAGCAAGGCTTCTCGCCAAGTCTGCTTCCTGGCCGGAAGGATGGAGTCATACTTCCCTTTCTGCTGCTGCCCAAGAGAGCTGAATGATGAGGTGTCTGCAGGGCTTAGTCACATGTGGCCCCAGCACACCTCCCTCTAGCATGGTCCTCAGACACCAGCCATTTAAAGAGGACCCCCACTCAGCACTAGACAAGCCCAACAGCTACTTGCTGGTATGAATGTACCCAGCTGTGAGTTCAAAGTAGAGGGAAAGGGAAAGGAGTGTCATGCATGTCTCCTTGTAAGAACAATAAAATCCAAGATGCATCCTAATGCACTAAAAGTCAGCCAACCTCTGGCCAAGGAGCCAGCCAGCCCATGGGCAGCTGGATTCCCTGTGCTCTCACCATCATTCCAGGCTCCCCGTTTCCACAGGCAGGCTCCCGGTTTTCCCCGGGGACAGACACAGTGGAACCCAAACACACTGTGGCCCTCGCTGTGAGCAGTCTGAGGTTCACTTCTTTTGCATTGTTCAGTCAGATTTTCAGAAGCAGAGCCTCTTAACAATTTAGTCCAGAATCTCTGGCACTAAAGAAAAGCCCCATAATGGCCCACAGAACAGGCAGTCTGAACAGAGAGGCTGGTTCCTCTCTCTAGAGCACACATAATCCTCGCTCCCCCGCCCCTTGTCTGCCCCACATTGACTTTTCCATATCAAGATGGGAGCCTGGGGAGGCAAAAATATAATTTTCCAATCAGACACATTTTTGGCAATGTTCTGGAGGTGTCATGCAGACAGACACCCCACTCTGAGAGCTAATTTCTTTTTGCTAAATCTCATGCCCCAAGAAGTTTCTCTCCTACTCTCTTATGTAATATAAAAGAATAAAATATAATATACAGATGTATAATAAAATATGAAATTTTATATAATAAAATATATATAAAATATATCTTACTCTTTAATAACTTAAGGAATAAAATGCCCAGTGTATCTCTCCACATTCAACATATGTTCCATTTGACGTTTAAGAGATAATATGGGCTATGTACATATTTACTAAAAACCGGGAAATGCAGGTAGGACTGAGACTTTAACATCCAAGTCACAATGAAACTGTTTACACCTTCTTCAGCAATAATCTGAGAAAGGCAAGTGGAGAGACAGTTCAGCAGGTAGGGCATTTGCCTTGCATATAGGTGACCCGGTTTCCATCCCTGGTGTCCTCTAGGATCCCCCAAGGACCACCCGCATTGATCCCTGAGCAGAGAGCCAGGAGTGAGCCCTGGTAGCCACCAGGTGTGGGCCCCCTGCCAAAAAAATCTGAGATATGCATGCCTTGAAATTCCATTGTACATCATGTACTTGATTTGCAAAGATCGGATGCCTACTATCCATTGTTTGTGGGTGTGGCATTGTCCTCCATCTGTTGGAGAGACAAATATGCCTATTGCTTGGCTGACCCTGGTCTGTCTAGTGCATCTCAGGACTGTCCTTGTCTCTGCAGAACTACTCTCTCCTGGACATGAGGCCACCCCCTGCTGCAGTGATCACGTTGAACAACCCCGTGTACTGGAAGGACTTTGAGGAGGCGTGTGTCTACGAGTGTCTGGACGGCAAAGACTGTCAGAGCTTCTTCTGCTGCTACGAGGAATGCAAATCGGGGTCGTGGAGGAAAGGCCGCATCCACATAGACATCCTGGAGCTGGACTCGTACTCCCGGGTCTTTTTCCCCACCACCTTCCTGCTCTTTAACTTGGTCTACTGGGTCGGATATCTGTATCTCTAAATGGCCACTCTTCACAGCACTAGATCCCTGCCCCCCAACCCCCTTGGCCATCAGTCCCCCCCAGACCAGTAGTGACCAGTCGGAGCAGCCCGGAAGGACATGCTCACTAGCTATAAAGTCACCCCTTAACCTTCATGCAGCGCGGAAATCCGCGGCAAATACTTTGATCGTGTACTTCGCACTCACACATGCGCGCGCGCACACGTTTCTTGAGTGTCAAGTGATTATTTTTTTTCTTGCTAATTCTTGAATGTGTCCTGTGGTGATGTTTACAAACGGTGTCTGGGTATTTGGAACTAGCTGATGATTATCCTAGCTAAGAAATCTGTAAACATGCAAGCAAACATGTAAGCAGCTCTCTCCGCCCCACCCTGCTGTCTCTTTCCTCTCAGTCCTGAGCACTAAAGCCCCGTCGGGCAGAGCCCCAACACTCATCCTAACCCTGGCCCCGTGTCCCTGGGCCACCTGAGTTCAGTGGACTGACTGCAGTGAGTTTTGATGCAGTCTCCCCTCTGGGACTGCTCTGGCACCATCATAGCCCACCTCCCTTCATCCTAGGCCTTGGTTGTACCTTCATTACCCACAAGTGCCCTGTTGAGAGAAAAATTCTGATTTTCAAAATTCTCATATTACTGAAATGAACACTGCTGATTAGGTCTAAAGAGCAGAAAGTGACCACTTTAGTACACCATGGCTGACAGTTGAGAGGAGTTGAGTTCTGGGTTGGTGAATTAGTTGAGCTTGAGTTAACATTTCAGCCTAAGAACTATATCTTACCACAAAAGGCTCAATGCCAGGGTCCGGGACTGGCTGATATTATTGTGAATTCAGTGATTATCTTCATCTTGCAAATATGTATAGAACATTCACAAGCCTTTGTCTTGAAAACATTCAAAGTGTGAAAGAAATGTAGATAGAATTTTAAAATTTTCTTAGTGAATCTCAATTTTCAAATCAACTCAACTTTGGATGCAAAAAAATGGGTAGTGGCTATCATCAGTGATCTATTTTGATGAACAAAACTTATTTTATACTCTGAAATATGAATACATAGCAAAATCCCAAAGAAATAGCCCCTGAAATTATTACTCTTTTGATATTTTTATAACACAAAACCAACTTGCTTCTTGAAGTCAGTTCTCTGTTATAACTGGATTCCACTGTATACTTCACAAGGCTCTTCAGAAGTTTCCCACCGTAGATAGGGAAAAAAAATTCTACTGGTTCATTAATAATGTTTGACAGCATTGTCAAAATTTTGCTACTTTCAGTGCTTCTCATCTCTTTCATCCAGAAAATTGCATTGATCTTATTGGAAATCACAGCAATTTTATCTTCATTATCAGCTGTCCATACTGTTATTACTCAGAAAAAATATAAAATGTAATATGTAGAGAAAGTATATGCTGGTTTCACAGGCATTACTGGGCACATACAGATCAGAGCATGAAACTAGAAATGCTAAATTCAATGGATCTATTTTTATTGACAGCTTCACATAGACAATGAATGCAGATATATCCGGATAAAATCACCAAGTTGCCCAAGGTGTAAGCTCTACACTGTGAGACTTTGAAGCTCCTGCTGGCTTTAGAATCGATCAGTTCTGAGTAGGCTGCCAGCTGGTTGACTGCTTAGCAAATCCAACGTTAAAAAGTAAAATAACAACAGCTATTTGTGGAGACACAGGTTAAACCTATTGGCTTAAGTGAGATTTCTGCTCTGTTTCTGAATTGGGCTACTAGTGGAATTCTGTCCCTTATGCACAACCCCATATTCGAATACTCTTGGTATGTATGCCTGGAGAGTTCCTGATCAAAGAACCTCCACAGACCCCACCAGAGTCCCAACGAGACCTCTGAGGACAACTGGCGCTTCCCAGGGATTATTCAAACAATATTTCAAACATTATGAATTTTTTTCTTTCTAAAATTTTTAACCATTTTAAAAGTTCTGGAATTGGGTAAGGCACTTGCAAGTAATCAATCCTGATTCTGTCCTCTGAGAACTATCAGGAGTGAACACTGAACACAGAACTGAGACAAAGCCCTGAACACTGCTGGGTGTGGCCCAAAAACAAACAAACAAAAAAACAATTTAAAAAGTAGTCCTGAAGAGAAGTAAATTTTCTAATAACATTCTTCTTGGGCAAAAAATGACCCAAACACATCTTTATAATATATAACTGGTCCAATTTTCTGTTACAAAATTTTTACTGATGTCTCTTGTCCCAAAGCCACTAATGGACATGATTGATAACCCTTGGAAAAGGATACACATCTTTAGGATGCTTACTTAGCTGAGAATCACAGATCATGAGACCCATAGCACTAGCCTGCGTGCCTTGACCCCACAGTCTCCGCCTGGCTCACTTTGCAAAGTGAACTGTATTTCCAATGGTTGGTTGGCAGTTGTGGGGAATTTGTCTGAATCTCTTTATCCCCAAGGTGTTGTAATGTTCTTCTACTTCAGAAAGACTCTTGCACTGGGGAGGCGGCAGCTTTTCCTAATAAGGGGTCCAAATTTCTGACCTCCATAATGAGAGACTGTCTGTCTCAGTGTTAAACAGTATTCAGTCTTCTTAGCAGGAAGAGAAGGCATATCTCCATAAGTGGATTAGATTTTTTCAAATGCCTGTCCAGAGCCTAGAAAACTACAGTTTCTGAGAAGTCTCAACACATTGGTAAGAGCAGAGACTCTCAAATACTGGACAGAAAAGGGTAATGTCACTCTAATTTCCTCTGGACCCAGCAATTACTGCCCTCAATTTACCCAACGCATGCCTTAAAATAACACACAGAATTCAAATAATATCCATCTTATAGACTTTCCAGTCCCTGTGGTCAGCTATATTTTATACCAGGCTTTATTTATCCCTTAGACATGGAAGGAACATGGATTTCATTTCTTTACCTGCCAGTTATTTCCTGATTTTTAATATCATCATCAAAGAGCAACCTTCTTTCATGTTGGTTCTTTGACTGAGGACATGTTTGTCCTTCATAGAAAAGAATTTTCTAGTCATATCCAGAAAAATGGAGCCAAATTCAATTCATTGCTGGTGAGTGTCGATAAAAGAATTTTCTAATCAAGTTCTCTGACCAGTCATCACTTTTTCAGTAATTCTTAGTAAACATGTTCAGGCATGTTTTCTGCTCTGCAGAGTAGCATGCTCTTTAAGTAACTGGTAGCCCAATTTGCCTCATGAATGTTTGCCCACAAGTACAAACATCCTTCCTCTAAAAAGGATGAAAGGGACATCCTCTCTCTAAAGGGCTAAAACACAAATAGACAAAACCTCTTCTTTCTCAATCATTTAACCTGGATGCCAATCATCAGAAATTTTCTGTGCAGACTTGAAGACTCCTAAAAGGTCTGCAACCACAACCCTGTGTCCACCACATCAGTGCTCTTAAGACACAAGTCATTTTGTGCTCTTGGCCCCGAGAGAGAGTACAGTGAATAAGGCACCTGGGATGACCCTGATTTGTTCCCCAGCACCCCGTATGATCCCCTGAACACCTCTGGGACTGATCCCTGAAGTAGATCCCTGAAGTAGATCCTGAAGTAGGTCCTGAGCACAGAGCCAGACGTGAACCCTAAGCCAGAGGTGGCCCCAAAACAAAAAGATAAATGACCTTCCGATTGTCTTCAGGGTCCTGCATAATCAGTGTTTTTGCTGAGAGTGAGAAGCAATTGTCACATATAAAGTGGCTTGTATATGAATTATTATCGTGATTTCCTTAAAAATGAAAGTTGGAATCAACTGAGACCAACATTTTTGGTTGTAAATATAGTCTAAAATGTTTCTTTTTCCTCAGATTTACCTGTAGAAATCATCCAGGTTCCAAAGTTTAGCAATGCCTCCACACCATGTTATCTGTCACCATCTTCAAAGAACCAAAACTGGGTCCAGCAAAATGAGACTCCTTCTAGAATTCTTTGCTGGCTTAGCTTTCATTATCTGTGGCTCTAGTGGTAGTAGGGTGTTTGTGTGGCCCCTTAAGTTTGGTCTCTAACATCAGCACTGTAGCACTGTCCTCCCGTTGTTCATCGATTTGCTCAAGCGGGCCCAGTAAAGTCTCTGTTGTGAGACTTGTTGTTACTGTGTTTGGCATATCGAATACGTCATGGGTAGCTTGCCAGGCTTTGCAGTGTGAGCGAGATTCTCTCTCTCTCTCTCTCTCTCTCTCTCTCTCTCTCTCTCTCTCTCTCTCTCTCCTTGCTGGGCTCTCCGAGAGGGGCAAAGGAATCGAACCTGGGCCGACCGAGTCAGCCACGTGCAAGGCAAATGCCCTACCCGCTGTGCTATCAGATACCCCCAATTATTATATAGCAACCCCAGCACCTGAGGACCCCCTAAGTACTAAGAGTAGTTCCTTCTATTACAAAAAATAGATCTCTGTTATTAAAGGGCAAATAATTACAGTAAGATGACATCTCTGAAAAACTAAAAAGTTTGTTGATTTCAAATATTTGATTGTTTTTGAAGACAGGAGATTCAGGAATTTGCACTCCTGCCTTAGAAGGTAGCAGTTCAGGGTGTCAGCCTGACCTTACCCTAAAAGTGTTTCCTAACATTCTGCTTCTTTCTTTTCCAATGTGTCTTCTACTAAAACAAGGCTCTGGTTGTTCCATGTTGTCAATAAAACACCTTCAACCACTTATTACTCTGCTCACATTTAGGGGGAAAAAAAACAGCAAAAATTTAAGCAACTTAAATGAATCAGCTCTTAATAATTAGTTGAATAGTCCCTAACAAGTTTTTAATGTTTTGAGTTAGGCAAGTGGGTTTCTCAGATTGTAACAATAGGAACATGAGCTGGAAAGTAATTAGGAAGACAAAGTATTAGATGGGTGTGTGCACACACACACACATACAGCAAATACTGAATGTAGTGCTCAGGTAATTGAGGGAATGTGAATTGTTTTGCTTGAATTATCCAGATAATCACCTACTTTCAACACTTCATTTTTCGCTCTTGTAAACACAGCAGCAAGTTTTCCCTGCCAGGGAGCCTGTTCTACA